TACACATGGTACACATGGTACACATAATACACATGGTACACATGCCACACATGACACACATGACACACATAATACACATGGTACACATAATACACATGGCACACATAATACACATGGTACACATGGTACACATGGTATACATGGTACACATGCCACACATAATACACATAGTACACATAATACACATGGTACATATGGTACACATAATACACATGGCACACATCGTTTACATTACAGTCATTTAGCAGACACTTTTATCCAAAGTGACTTACAATAAGTGTATTCAACATCAGTATTCAAGAGAACTACTAGTCACCAGAAGTCATAAGTGCATCTCCTTTAAACAAGCATCTAAGAGCATAAACCAGAGCAGACGTACAGAGACAAACTAGTATGAATACAATAAGTGGTGAGTGGAAGGCTCAGGGTAGTACTTCTTGAAGAGGTGAGTCTTCAGCCTGATGAAAGATGGGCAGCGACTCTGCTGTCCTGACGTCAGTGGGGAGTTCATTCCACCACTGTGGGGCCAGGACAGGAAACAGCAGTGACCGGGTCGATCGACTACAGGACCTCTGAGCGACGGGGCAACCGATCACCCCGAGGCAGCAGAGCGAAGTGGTCGAGCGGGGGTGTAGGGCTTGACCATGAATAACAGAACCCAGAGATGTTGTGTAGAGCGAGAAGAGAAGGGGGCCCAGGACTGAACCTTGTGGAACCCCCGTAGTCAGCATGCGTGGTTCCGACATGGCCCCCCCTCCATGTCACCTGGTAGGATCTACCTGTCAGGTAGGATGCAAACAGGGAGAGTGCAGAGCCTGAGACGCCCATCCCCTCGAGGGTGGAGAGGAGGATCTGGTGGTTCACCGTGTCAAACGCTGCAGACAGGTCCAGGAGAATCAGGACAGAGGAGAGAGAGTTCGCAATTGCGACGTGAAGTGACTCCGTCACCGCAAGCAGGGCTGTCTCAGTCGAGTGACCCACTTTGAACCCAGACTGGTGGGCGTCCAAGAGGCTGTTCTGATGGAGATAGGAAGACAGTTGAGTAAAGACAGCACGTTCAAGTGTTTGGGATAGAAAGGGTAGAAGAGAAACCGGTCTGAAGTTCTTGACATCAGAGGGGTCAAGTGATGGTTCCTTCAGAAGGGGGGTGACTCTGGCAGTCTTGGAAGCTGTGGGAAAGCATCCTGAGACAAGGGATATGTTGATGAGGTGGGTGAGGAAAGGAAGGAGTTCAGTCGCAATAGACTGAAGAAAAGGGGAGGGGATCCGGTCAAGGGAGCACGTGGTGGGGAGGTTAGATGTAACAAGATTGAGGACCTCGTTAGGGGAGAGGGGAGCCAGATAGGGTAAGAAGGGACATGGAGAGGGGAGGGAGAGCTGGACAGGGTAGAGAGGGAGAGGGTGGACAGGGAGAGGGGGGCTGAGAGAAGGAGGATCTGATATTGTTTACCTTCTTGTCAAAGAAGTTGGTGAAATCGTCAGGGAGAAGGGAGGAAGTAGGAGGAGGGGGTGGGGGTTGGAGGAGTGAAGAGAAAGTTTCGAAGAGTTTTTTAGGATTGGAAGCAGAGGTTAGGATTTTAGAGCGGAAGAACGCAGCTTTAGCAGTAGAAAGAGAGGCGGAACAAGTGGAAAGAAGAGACAGGAAGTTAAGAAGGTCCTCCGTGAGTTTGCCTTTTCTCCATTTACGCTCAGCCTCCGTCTGTCAGTACGCACTGAGTCCGACAGCCATGGGGCAGGTGGGGTTGGCCGTGCAGGCCTGGAGGTAAAGGGACAGGGGTTGTCCAAAGAAGAGGAAAGGGTGGAGAGGAGAAGACCAGTAGCAGTCTGTACTAACCTATAACACAAACATGTAGTAGCGTGAACGCCCTGAACGACTGTTTACTCTACTGTTGTTTCTATTATCTCTCTTCAGTATATCGTACATGTTCAATGTTTAGACGGATGGAACATGTTTTGAGTCTTTTACGAGTTGATCCAGCAGCTAATATAACAGAGGGAAATGTATCGTGATTTGTTAACTAATTAGTTTTAATTTGTTCTTTGTCAATAAACTGTTTTAATGTTAAAGTGTTCATGTGATGCAACATGTGACCAATCAACTCTTTGTGATATTGATCATGTTTTCTGTTCCTCAGGTGCCATCCTGGGACGCTCAGACACACAGAAGTGTATCTACTACAACTACAACCACAACCCTTCCTCCTCCTCCTCGGTGTTGGACAGTCGGGTGAACATCAGTAAAGTTGTTTCCTGCTCTGGGGAGAAAGATAAGAGACTTCACTGCTTCGCCACCTGGAAGAATATATCTGGAGAAGTTCAGGTGGTCAAACAGGACTGTTGGCTGGATGATGTCAACTGTTACGACAAGTAAGTGATGACAGACAGACAGCTGGTCTACGTTCAGACAGACAGCTGGTCTACGTTCAGACAGACAGCTGGTCTACGTTCAGACAGACGGCGGGTCTACGTACAGACAGACAGATGGAATAAGACTGAGCGTCTTCAAACCTTTTCTATAATCTGTAAACATTCTTCTTCTGCTCACAGGAGTGAATGTGTGGAGAGAAAAGAAGCTCCTGAAGTCTTCTTCTGCTGCTGTGAAGGAAGTTTGTGTAACGATCAGTTTTTCTACAGACCCGACAGCAACCAACAGATACCAGGTCAGTTACCTCTTTGTGTGAGTGAGTCAGTGAGTCAGTGAGTGAGTGAGAATTTTATATATTATTATGGAGGCAAATCACTGTCAAAATCCGAGAGCTCAAATGAGATCCACGTGCGCGCGAAAATCAAACAGCCACGCACGTATTTTACTTTGACATCACTCCGCGAGCAGAATTCACTCTCGCGCGAGCAAAAGTCGCTCGCGAAACTTAAACCTGCTCGCTCACGAAACTGCAGTTTTTCTTTTTGACAGTAAGTGGGCGGACCCAGTCTCCATTGTATCTCTACATCTAATTGGTTACAATCCTCGTCTTTGGATAAACCGGATATTACTCTGACGCAGACGCTCGGGGGAGATTTTCAGATTATAGGACAGCTGCAAATAATGTACATTTTACTGCACAGGTACTTTTACTTTCTGCACTTAAAGTACATTTAGCTGATAATAACATTGACTGAGGTTTTGAATGCAGGTATTTTACTCGTAGTGGGTTATTGTTTCATCAGTATGGTGTTAGTACGTTTACTGCAGTGAGGATCTGAATACTTTTTCATCCACTTATTACTTGTCAGTGATTTAACAGTTAATATACAAACAGTGGTCCCTAATCTTGGCTCCAGATCTTTGAGCAGGTCCAAATTGTTGCTCATATTATATACAACTATATTATATCTCTTCTGTAAACACAACAGAATGATTAAATATGATCACATCATGTTTTAATCAATTAAGATCAAACAGTTTCTTTGAGCTGTTTGTCACGAGAGGTTTGAGTATCAAACACACATTGTCTGTAATAGAATGATGGAGTGAATTTAAACCAATCTGAGCAACTTGACTTTAACACATTTTAATTATTGTATTTAACAACTCTATTAACATCATCTGTATTTCATCAGCCTCTACAGTCTGAAAAGTTTACAAAACCTGTCAGACCTGTAGAACATGCTGATTGACTAGTGGCTGATTGAAAACCACCTCTATCAGAACTAGCGTCTGCGTCAGAGTGATATCCGGTTTATCCAGAGACGAGGATTGTAACCAATTAGATGTAGAGATACAATGGCGGCTGGGTCCGCCCACTTACTGTGGGCGGACTTACTTGTTTATAATTCTTCTC